ACACCTCAGTGACATCACCCTTGCTGCGCAAGGGGAAGACTGTGGTGTAACGCGAGTAGTCGTCAACCACCAGCAGGAAGTAGCGTTCGTGACCCTGTCCACGGACGCGGGCCGGGCCCCACACGTCCATGTGAAGCGTCTGCAGCGGGGCCTCTGTCGGAGGAAACTGGGAGGAGTGAGGGGTAGCCCGCTGTCGTCCCTCGACACAGGGGACGCAGGTAGGGCCAGGCCCCGGAGGAAGAGGAGGGAGGGACCGGGGAAGACCAGAGACAAGGACACGGGAGGCCATGCTCCGGAGACGAAGCAGGGAGGGGTGACCAAGGCGGTGGTGCCAGAGGAGAGTCTCGTGAGACAGGAGGCGACACGAGCAGGGGGCAGACTCAGGACCAGACCTGGACGCTGCAGCAAACACCTGACCCGACGCAGCTACCTGACCAGACGCAGGGACCGGAGGAGACGCAGTGGTCAGTGTGTACAGGCTCGACCCCGGCCGACGTGTAAACGTGGCCAGGTGTCGGCCTGTCCGAGCGTCCGTGCAGTGGGTCACCCGCTGACTCGCAGGAGTGAACTGGTGAACCCCCGCATCCTGTAGGTCAGCACCACTCACCAAGTTCGTAGAGAACGAGGGGAGGTAAAGACCAGACAGGGTGCCAGAGGGGGCCGCCGGACACGGGAGGACAGTGGAGAAGTGAGCAAGGACAGGACCCCCAGAGGGGTCTGCCAGAGAGACCGCAACTGGCCGGCCAAGTGGCGTGAGTGTGGTGCGGTCTCGAAAGAAGGAGCGAGAAGCCCCCGAGTCAAGGGTAAAGGTGTGGGAGGCCGAAGCCGACGCAGAACCTGAGAGAGCAGACTCACCAGTACCTGAGGAAGCAGACGCACCTAGAGCAGCAGCCTCGCTAGCACCTAGAGCAGCAGCCTCACCAGGACCTAGAGCAGCAGTCTCAATGCCCGGGTCGGGCGGAAAACACCGGTAACAGTCACCCTCATCACTAATAGTCACAGTATACATGGCAGCAAGAATAGCATCAAAGTCAAGGTCAAAGACAGCTACACCCGCCCTAGACAGCTCACCCCAGCGGGGGATCTCAGTGGCCTCAGGGAACTGGTGACGCCAAGCGTCCGTCAGGCGGCCAAAGCAGCGCTGGGTGGAGTGCGCACCCCCGCACTGCTCACCCGCGCGGTCGCCGGTGCGCAGGACGTAGGTGCACGGACCAGTACCCCAACCCCTCTGGCGTGCAGTGTACCACTCACAGAGCTGCTGAGGGGAGGGGACGTCACGAGTGCGCTGCTGCTGCTGCTGCTGCTGCTGCTGCTGCTGCTGCTGCTGGCGCTGACCACCACCGGAGCTGACCCTCTGCGCAGCGCCACCCCGACCAGCTCCACCTCCTCCGCCGCCTCCTCCTCCACCGCCGCCACCTCCGCTCCCTCCGCCACCGCCGCTGCCGCCTGCGCCTCCACTGCCGCCACCTACACCTCCACCCCCGCCACCACCCCCACCGCCACCCCCACCTCCTCCACCGCCTCCACCGCCGCCTCCACCGCCCCCGCTAGCTCCTCCAGCGCCCCTGCCCCCCTTGCCCCTGCCAGGGCGGCGTCTCCCGCTAGGGGTAGACGCTGCCCCAACCGACTCCAAACCAGCGAGGTCGGCCGCAGCAGCAGAGGCAACAGAGGGCAAAAGAGGGGAGGGGGAACACCCCTCAAAGATGGGGGTGCGAGGGTCACCACGAGAGGCTCCTACAGCGACTATGCTCTTTTCTGCTGCTAGGAGGGCCTTCTCGAGGAGGTCAACGGTGAGAGTGGTGGGACAAACCGAGAGGAAGTGGTCCCTGACTACGCGAAGGGAGTCAGGGAGACGGGTGACTATGTAGTAGAGGGTGATGTACATGGGGGGGGGGTTCTTGGCGCAGAACTCAGTAGGAAGCGCAGCGCGGTAGCGAGTGTCACTGGTGCGGAGGTGCGTAATGAGGTCAGCGACTGTGGGAAAGGCAGCAAGGTCAGGGAAGAGGTACGGTAGCATGAGGCGGCTCAGTGCAGCAGTGGCAGGGGAGGAGTAGCGTGCAACTACAGCGTCGTACAAGGTCTGAGCACTCTTGTACTGGCTAAAGTGCGCACGCTCAGAGGTAGGGAGGTGGCGACGCACAGCAAGACGTGCAGCAGCATCGCGCGTGGCCCACTGTGAGCGAACAGTGGCGTCAGCATCAGCAGCGGGGGCAGGAGAGGCACCAGAAGTGAGGTCAAAGAGGGAGAGGCCGTCTGCTCTGTCGCACTGTAAGAAAAGCTGCAGGTCATCTATCCAGACGTCAAAGTCAATGGCCCGACCCTCAGCGTCAAAAGCGAGGACACTAGGGGTAGCCATGACAGCAGTAGACTAGCAGTGCAAACAGTAGGGCGAGGGCAGTGCTGTGAGAGAGGCGCTGCTCTTACCGGACAGGGCGGTTCGGGCGGCTCGGCTGCAGGGCGGCTCGGCGGCTCGGCGGCTCGGCGGCTGGGCGGCTCGGCGGCGGGGCGGCTCGGCTGCTGGGCGGCTCGGCTGCGGACAGGGCGGCTCAGCGGCTCGGTTGCTGAGCGGCTCGGCGGCTCGGCTGCTGGGCGGCTCGGCGGCTCGGCTGCTGGGCGGCTCGGGGCTCGGCTGCTGGGCGGCTCGGCTGCTGGGCGGCTCGGCTGCTGGGCGGCTCGGCTGCTGGGCGGCTCGGCGGCTGGGCGGCTTGGCTGCTGGGCGGCTCGGCGGGGCCGCTGAGAGGGCGGCGTCCGGCGCCGCTGGGAGGAGGCGGCGGGGCCGCAAAGGTAGGTGGCGGGGCCGCAGGTAGGTGGCGGGGCCGCTAGTAGGTGGCGGGGCCGCATGTAGGTGGCGGGGCCGCTGGTAGATGGCGGGGCCGCACAGGCAAGTGGCGGGGCCGCGGAGGTAGGTGGCGGGGCCGCACAGTGAGGTGGCGGGGCCGCGAAGGTAGGTGGCGGGGCCGCACAGGTAGGTGGCGGGGCCGCGGAGGTAGGTGGCGGGGCCGCACAGTGAGGTGGCGGGGCCGCGAAGGTAGGTGGCGGGGCCGCGGAGGTAGGTGGCGATGGGCGCGACGGGCGCGACGGGCGCGACGGGCCGAAAGGGCGGCGCGACTCGGGCCGGCGCAAAACGCGCTCCGGGCAGGAAAAAAAAAATTTCGTGGTGGTGGGCCCTAGGAATCGTTCCCACTAGGGAACCTGCTCGATACCATGAGAAGAAACGAGGAATAGAATGACTAAGTGAAAGTTGGGTACAAGAAGCAAACCCTAGAAAACTGTACCCCATATGTGCTACCCCACTATAGCCTACAGTAGCTATGTCATATAAATCTGACAGGAACTTTCGTCTCCATAAGTCGAGATTGGTTGGGGGGGGAGGGGGGGGGGGTGCTGTACGCTGTTCAGGAAAATACTCACTAACGGAAAATTTACACTACACCATCAGTGTCACCTAAACCATTACCCTTACGAATCAGGGTAATTCTATTCTCCATTTTTTTTACCCAGAGGCATCAGCGTGACCCCGAAAATTCACCCTTCTAATCAGGGTAACAGTGTGATTCACACTGATAAAATAGGCCCTGGCGAGCGTGTGCCGGGTGCCACTTTCCGTTCGTCGAAGATTTCGGAGGTGGCAGTGCGAAGGATTCCCGAGTCGCTCTCATACCATGTTGCGATCACATTTTGATCGTACCTAGGATCACCTCAGGAAGGTTCGCACACATCTGAGTAGTGGCGGGCCCTTGACCCCAATAGCAGAGTGGATGTAAAATGTTTGAGATAATAATAACATGCGAATAAATAGGAGTACAAGGGAATTTGAATCGACCTAGGCTAGCCATGTACTCTAAGGGGTACATTCCCTTATTGCAGCGAAACCCAACCATGCGAATCCAGACGGTTACAGAACTGGCTGGGCATAATCTTCGTCACTGCTGCAGCCTGATGCTGTCTGCCCGACGGCCCAGATCCCTTCGTAACCGCACGACCCTTTGCGTCACTTCCACCTCTTCGTCTTCAGCCTCGGTATTTTGTGCTGCGGTAAGGATTGCACAGTAATGCTTCATCTTTTACTATTCGTAACACCTTTCATTACTTCAATACATTGAGTTTGATGGTACTTTCTTGATTCTATTGCTCACTACGGTAGTAGCAAATATATAATACATGTTTGAAGCCATAACATTCAAATTCTGTATAATAAAGTACCCTTAGTTCGAGGACGGTTACGCGCTCTGACGTGGATCTCTTGCCAGTGTAAAGATCCCCCAATCTCGGGGTGCAGCTCTGTTTTTGTCATTGCCATTTGCTGGACGTGGCAACTGCAGTTTGCTTCTTGTGTGTTGCGCTGGCGTTGCGTCCAGTTTCTTGGGGCTAGGATATGGACTGCGGACGACAATCAGTTCCGGAAAACCCAGTCGGTTCTGTTCATTGTAAGTCGTTCCCGCTAAAATCCGTACTTCTGAAACGGTATTCAGACATTGGCAAACACAACTTTCCACACAGATTCGAATCACGCACTCTTAGCAGGCATTTGGGAGAGTGACGCGGAACGCCCTTCCTTTCCGGGTAATTGTAAACCCCATCCTCCGGGCATCTATTCTTGACGAGCCAACCCCAGGGCAACAAGACTTGTCCCCTGTTTAACCAATCACAGCCTTCGCTATATTTTTCCCTCCACCTCTCAACCATACCACATCGTGAAGCACCCTTCTCTAACCCACGGCACTCCATCTGTGTGTTGAGCACCACAGAACCAATGGTTAGCAGCCTCCATCACTTGTTTTTGAGGGGAGTAGATTTTTGTTGGTGGATGTTAGTCCTAGATTCCATCCTACAGGACCTATACACCTTAGTAGCACCATCCCGTCCTAACCAGGAAGGGACCAGTTTCAGCAGCGTCTTTCTCGCTGTTGAGTCATCGCTGGGTGGTCTTCGCGGAGCTTGTTGCAGCTGAGAGTATCTGTTCCTTACGTTTGTCAGGACAAGTTAGTTGACCAGGCACCATGGCATCAGCAGCGGCGAAGGCTTTCTGGAACAGCCCAGTCGGTCCCAAGACGTCGCACTTCTGGGGTCCCTTGGCCAACTGGGGCTTCGTCATTGCGGTAAGGACGAGATCCACGCGCGTTCAGGCTTTAGGGTTGAATACTATCAGTTACGTCTGCATTTACTGCATTCTTCTTGGTAATGTATTTCATGTGCTGTTTGTTGTTTTTTTCGTGATTTTTCTGGTATTCAGGGACTAGTGGACATGCAAAAGCCGGTTGACATGATCTCGCCAAAAATGACTTCAGGTCTGTTTGGATGGCTGACCACCCTGTTCGTTCTAAATATTCGTGATACTTTGCTTCGGAAATCAGGTGGCTCAAGGCGTTGGAAACAGTGGCTCTGGTCCTCGTTCTCGACAATGCCATGAAGAAATCACGATGAGAACACAGAAATGGGAGACGTGGACTTCAAGATCGCATTACCCTCACCAGTTTCGCCATTTCTTTCACTAGGATGTTCGTTTTTGAGGCCGTACCGTCAGAGCAAGTGCCCGTGATGAGCCATCGGTTCCTGCTCTTTCCCTCGTCTCGTCCAATCTTCGTAGCAAATCACGTTGCGGGCATTCTGGGTGGCGGTGGATTGTTGGCAACACGCGCTCACGCACAATTTCACTGGACACTGACTTAATGTAGGCTAGTAATTTGTCCCAAACTTATTGTCTCATCCCTCTTCATCCCTTCTCCCCCCTTTTCCCCCCTTTCCTCCACCTCCCCACATCCAAACCCCGAACTTCTCGCCCTAAATTTTTCCGAAAGCAGTCATGTGCGTGTACTCCGCGCTGTTCATGCGCTTCGCCTGGCGCGTGCAGCCCCGCAACTACCTCCTCTTCTCCTGCCACTCCGCCAACGAGACCGTCCAACTCATTCAGCTCTCGCGATGGGCCCTCTCAGAGTGAGTTCACTTCCCTCATGGCAATTTCAAGGTGACGTTTTTAGTCGACGCAAAAGTCAATTCCTGCCATTCCGCCAACGAGACCGTTCAACTCATCCAGATCTTGCGATGGGCCCTGTCAGAGTAAGTCCGCCTTCTGCTAACAATGTCAAGAGTCCCTAACAAGATGCTTCAGGTCGGAAAATCCGCCAGTTTTTCTGTCAACACTCTTGTTGGCATGTCTATTCCACTTACCGTATGCCTTGCTGGCTTACTCACCTGTCCGGCTCACTCCCCTGTCTTGCATGCATGTGGGGAATGGCATCTGAGCCAGTCAGCTGTTTTCAGATGTACAAATCCGTTTCACTTGTCGTGCAATAAATGTGACTGTGTCCTTTGTGTTACTGTGCGTTACAGACCCGTAGCAGAGAAGCCAGCAGAGCCTGCGGCTGCTCCTGCTGTTGTGGAGAAGGCAGCAGAGTGATGCCAAAAACCACAACCATTCCCAACCACACTGTTCTATAGTCTCCAGTACTTACCCTCAGTGACAAGGGACAGGTCACAGGTTTTCAATCAAATCGCTGTCCATGGCAGTACAATGTTTCTTCAATTGTACGTTCAGTTGCCATATACGAGAATATAGATAAACCCACTTTCGAACCACAAATCTGGAGTGGACTTAAATCAATGCTGGATAAAGTAGCCAAGGCACTAAAGGCCATGTGTGACAGAATATTAAGTGTGATGGTGACAGAATTAAATTTAACCAACTAACATGCATATGTACTAAATTCAGTCAATCGTCAACTGAAAGGGCAAACACTCATTCCCTTGGCAGTGCGTGGCCGAGCTAGGCACCTCTCTGTCCACGCATGCACCTTTGGAAACTCCTCCAGTTTCAGCTGCTCCTCGCCATTATAATATCTCTGTAGGGAGGGAACGAAGGGTTTAAACAAGGATGATAGTGTCAAAAGGTTAGGGGCAAGCAATAGAGTGGCCTAAGGAGGAGAAGGCAAAGTTGTGAGAGGGGAAAGGTGAAAAGGCGGAGGAGGAGAAGGTGAAAAGTTGTGAGACGTGCACTTTAAGGCATGTGACCCAGGGGTAGGTGGCCATGTCAGCAATGGTGTACCGTACCCCGCATCAATGAGGTGAGGAACTCCCTCCCCTCCAGCCACTTCTCCAAATCTCACAGGGTGTCAAGACACCAGCGCATTTACCAACAGACCCTTGCACCCACCTCGAGGCATATGACCCAGGGGAAGATGACCATGTCAGCGATGGTGTAATGAGGAAATCCCTCCCTTCCATCGAAGCCTGAATCAGCTTCCCACTCACCTTGAGGCATATCACCCAGGGGAAGGCGGCCATGTCAGTGATGGTGTACCCCGCCTCGACAAGGAACTCCCTCCCCTCCAGCCGCTTCTCCAGCAGCAAAACAACAACAACCTGCAGTACCGAAACGAACCCCTGCACCCACCTTGAGGCATATGACCCAGGGGAAGGTGGCCATGTCAGCGATGGTGTAACCAGCATCAATGAGGAACTCCCTCCCCTCCAGCCGCTTCTCCAGCACCCCCAGCAGCCTCCTCGCCTCGTTGGTGTAGCGCTCGGTGGGGTACGGGTGGTCGCACTTGTCGCGCGCGTACTTGAAGAAATGGCCGAACTGTTGGGAACAATGAGAAGGAAAGCAGGGAGGCAGCCAAAGAGAGTGTGCAATCAAACTGGGTGGGGTGTGGGTGGTTGCACTTGCCCCAAGTGTACTCGAAGAAATGATCAAACTGTTGAGAACAGTGAGGAAGAAAGGGGGATATGTCTTTTAGTGCTTTCAACCCAAAGCTGGGTGGGGTAGAGGTGGTCGCACTTGTCATGAGCATACTTGAGGAAATGATAGAATTGTCACGGTATACGAGCGAGAGGAAAGGAGGCAGACGATAAGGGTATGTCAGTCAAGTGCCTCCGAGCAGACACTGGGTGGGGTACGGGTGGTCTCACTTGTCCCGAGCATACTTGAAGAAATGACCATACTGTTGAGAACAATGAGAAGGAAAGAGAGGAACGTAGCTAGTGAGGAAGAAAAGGGGATAAGCTTTTCAAATGCTTTCAACCCAAAGTTGAGTGGGGTACAAACTTGTCCTTTAAAATATACGTCTGCATCAGATCTATCACCTGGCCGAACATGGGTTGGCATCAGATGTCTCACCTGGCCAAACATGGGACCGACGCCACCCATTTGAAAGAAGAGCCAGGAGAGGGTCTCCCATCTCTGCACGGCATCCTGCGGCAGAAACTTGCCCGACTTCTCCGCCAGATACAGCAGGATGGCCCCGCTCTCAAATATCTTCAACGGGGTGCCATCTGCATCACCAATTCCAGAAAAAATAAACAAACAAAACAAACAAAAAAACAAAACAGATAACGAAGGATTCTCAATAGACCAGCTGGCGAGTACGAGCAACTATGATGATCAGGTTCGTATGCATACCAAGTCCTTCCTTGTGACTCACAATGCGGAAACTTTTCAAACGTCCCTTCCCCTCCCTCTTCCCCCCTCTCCGCCCTGACAAAAAAAAAAAAAAATGTCAGGTGCCTAGAAACAATTACTCGGATCACTTCCTTACCAGGCGCTCCCATGGGATCCACGATGGCGGGAATCTTGCTGTTGGGATTGATAGCGATGAACTCGGGCGTGAACTGCTCGTCTTTCATGATGTTGATCGTGTGCGCATCGTACGGTATCTCCATCTCCTCCAGCGCAATGCTCACCTGATAGGGGGTACGACGATAGGGAGGAAGAGAGGGGAAACAAACAGGAGGAAAAACGCTCAAATATGCACTGGAACTCTAGCGTGAACTGCTCGTCTTTCCTGATGTTGATGGTGTGCTGTGCGCATCATATGGAATCTCCATCTCCTCCAATGCGATGCTCACCTGGACAGGCGGTCAGATGATAAATAAAGGGGGGGGCGAAGGGGGGAAGAGGGGAAGGAATAGGGGAAAACACACTGATACTCCAGCGTGAACCGCACGCCGTTGATCATGATGACATTGTGCGCATCGTACGATGTCTCCATCTCCTCCAAAGCGAAGCTCCACCTGGACAGGTGGTCAGACGATAAATCCAAATATATACGGAGACATGCGAAATAAATCCGACGGCTACAAAAGGAGCGACGGAGCAGACCGCCAGCCTGTTTCTGAGACCCTCGCCTAAAAAAAAAAAAACAAGGGCCTAGGAAGCACCGAGGGAGCAGTAACGGACCTTTTGGCCGTTCGGAGTGGCCAGAGAGTAGAGCTGAACGCGCGAAGACGACTCGTCCGACGCCATCATTCTGCTCGCCGATACTCTCTGACTGGATCGAGTTGGTATAAAACGCCCAGGGCTACAGCTGAGACGGGGATTTCACGAATGAAGCTGCCTCTGACCAGGCAACGCGGATTCTGGAGTGAATCCAACGGGAATGGCTGATAGTTTCTGCTGTGGACGAAATTTTTCCAACGACTCGACGTGTACATGGCTTCTAGAATGTGTGATAAGGGCGTATCTTTGGTTCCGGTCATGAGCACTGTTCATTCAACTGTTTGGGGCATCCGCATTTAGCGCATGACCCAAACTGGACTCTGGAAGCACCCGCGGTCCGAACTTCGGGTCATCCAGCAAACTGCATGCGACTGGGGTGTTCAATGTGTCCCTACCAATCAGATTGAGCTGCGACCGCAGGTTGGGTCGCCCTCTTTAGACGGACGTTTACTTTCATCTCACGCCCGTCAATGTCCCATCTACACCAAGAACGTCCAACACTTCCAAGTAAAACTGACGTGACCACTTCCATGCTCTCCCACGCTCCGGACGCCATGTTTACAAGCACAGTGCGGCTCCACAGCAAGGCTCCTTTCTCCCACCGCGGTGCCAACATAGCGGGCGACTTGAGAGCACTTTTCAGCTCAAGATGGCCGCATGCATCTGTCCTCGTCGCTAATCGTGTTGCCATAAAACATGCTCACAGCACAGGTGCTCATACTTTGTGTTGCCTTACACCTGTGGCATGAGTACCTGTCGAGAGTAAACGGAAAAGTTGGTGCACTATCGAGAAACTTGGGTACAAGTGACAAAAAACTATACCCTACATTAGCTACCCCACTAAAGCCTACCTTCTATTATGACATAGGCATATAATTTGACACACCCCCATAGGCAAAGTGGGGGAGAGTAAGGGGTCACAAGACCAGTCAAGAGAAGCAAAGCAAGCTCAGGGGGGATCACAACGTCACCACACACACTGAGCACAAGCAAAGGGCCACAAGGCCAGTCCACATGCAGAGGTATATATGCAACAACAATAGTACAGTGATCTCTACTTAGCAGAGCAAGCATGCAGGAATATATATAGATCACAGTATAAGCAAAGTCTACAGCAAGTGAGGAAAAGTGGGCACAAGGCCTAACAAAGTGCAGAAACGCTGATGATCACCAGACGGAAGTGCCTTGGTGAATATATCAGCAGTGTTGGCCCGAGTGGCCACGTGTGCAAGACGAAGCTGACCACGCTGCTGCAACTCTCGAGCCAAGAAGTAACGCAGAGCGATGTGCTTCATTCTGTGCTCCAGTCTGTGCTCCTGACACAAGGCAATGGCGGCCTTGTTGTCGACGTACAGCACTGGAGGAGAACGAGGCCGCTCTCCCAAGTCGGTCAGCAGGTAGGTGAGCCAGCGTAACTCCTGTGCAGCCATGGCTGTGGCGTAGATCTCAGCCTCACAACTGGAGCTGAGAACTGAAGACGAGCGTGTAGAACGCCAAGAAACTGAACCAGAGCCAAGGCTGAAGGTGTAACCCTGTAACGACCGCTGCGTAGCCTGGTCATCAACCCAAGAAGCGTCCGAGTGACCAGTGAGGACAACGTCGCCCCGTCCTCCAAGCACGAGCCCCATGCCCGATGTACTGCACAAGTAGCGCAGTACCCTCTTAGCAGCATCCATGTGCACCTTTCGGTGCCGACCAGGAGCCACGTAGCGAGCCAGAAGGCCAAGAGGGTACGCAAGGTCAGGACGAGTGCAGGTCATCAGGTACATGAGGCAGCCCACTAGCTCTGGGTAAGGACCACTCGGCTCTACGGACTCGTCCGAAGGTGGAGCTGAGAGCGAGTGACCTGTAGCCAGAGGAGTGGCCTGTGCTGAGGACCAGGTGAAGCCGAAGCGCTGAAGGACCTGCTGCACCATGTGTGACTGAGCCAGTGTGATGGTGCGGCGTGCTCTGTCCCGGGTGATCTGCAAGCCAAGGTAGCTGCGCAGTTCACCCAGGTCTGTGCACGTGTGTCTCTTCTGCAGCTCCGACTTCACCAGGGCGAGAGCCTCAGTGTCAGCAGTGGCAAAGACCAAGTCGTCGACGTACACGAGGATGTAGAATGGCGGCAGCGAAGTGTCGGTGCGCAGAAACAGCGACGGGTCAGCAGTCGACGGAGCAAACCCAAGAGCCGCAAGTGTCGTCCTCAGTGTGTCGTGCCACTCACGTGGCGCCTGGCGGAGACCGTAGACCGGCCGCCGGAGGCTCCACTGGGTACCAGGAGGGAACGACCCAGTGAAGCCAGGCGGGCGGCGCAGCCAGATCTCCTCGTGCAGGCTGCCCTGCAAGAAAGCTGTGCTGAAGTCAAGAGAGTGAAGCTCGTAGTCACGCTGGGCGGGAACGTGCAGCAGCACTCGAAGAGTGGTCATCTTCGGGGTGGGGGAGAAGGTCTGGAAGAAGTCAACTCCCTCTCGCTGACTGAAACCTCGAGCAACGTAACGAGCCTTGAAGACAGGCGGAGAACCTGGTGGCCGCTTCACCCTGAAAATCCACATGCCACTGACGATGTTCGCCCCAGGAGGGGGAACCTCGTCGACATAGGTGCCTGTGGACTTCCAGGATGCCATCTCTGCGTCCATGGCTGTCTGCCACTGAGAGGAGTAAGGACCCGTAATCGCCTCTGCGTAAGAGCGCGGGGTCGGGATGTCAGGAGCATCCGGGTCTCCCTCAGGGGCAAGCAGCATGGACACGAGATGAGGCGCAGCGGCTGCAAGACACTCAAGGTCCTCCTGCCTGTCCTCAAGGACGTCCGTGCCAAGAGCACACTCACCCCCGACGGACGGAGGACAGACAGACGCAGACTCAGCAACAAGACTAGCGGCGTAGTCTAGACGACAGGCAGCAGCAAAGTCAACAAGCTCAGCGACTAAGGCAGACGCAACAGTAGACTCAAACGACGGGTCAGTGACAACTGTGGCTAGCAGACGCGTGACAGTAGGGTGAGCAGCACGAGCGCGGTCAGACTCAGGCTCAGGAACGGTAGGCAGAGAAGACGCAGGAGGGGACGGCAGGGGAACACTCTGTGGAGGAGAGGAAGGACGACGGACTACAAGGTGGGTGCCGGGGACAGCCGGCTGACACGAACAAGGAACACGACGACCGGAACGACCAGAACGGACAGGCGAGACAGGACGCGACGCAGGCTCACGATGCTCAGTAAGACCCCCTGTCTGCTCAGTGTAAGGAGAAGGAGCAGGCAGCGGTGAGCCAGGCTGTAGCGGAAGACCAGTAGACGAAGGGAGACTAAGAACCTGGCGAAGCACAGAGTCGGACGGTGGCTGAGACGACGGAGACGGTGGAGCAAAGAACAGGCGCGGCTGTGCAGTGCTACCAGCACCAGCAGCTCCAGCACCCCCAGCAGTCCCAGTACCTCCAGCAGCTCCAGAACCCTCAGCTCCAGCTCCTCCAGGACCAGCTCCACCAGCAGCAGCACCCCCAGAAACCGGCACCTCCAGTCCCAGGGTCTCCAGCCTCAGTGTCTCCAACAGCAGCACCCTCAAGCTCAGCACCTCCAGCCCCAGCAGCTCCAGTACCTCCAGTACGAGCACCTCCGGGACCAGCACCATTCCCAGCTCCAGTGATGTCAGCAGAAGTACCTCTAGCGGCAGAGCCCCGAGCTCCAAAAGCGCGACCCTGACGGCGACCGTACCAGTCGTGCAGCTGCTGTGAGGTGAGAGGCACACGCGGACGAAGGCGGCTACTCCAAGGAGACCGCGCAACAGCAGACTCAGAACCCTCAGTGCCAGCACCCGCAGCAGCTCCAGAACCTCCAGCGGAAACAACTCCAGTAGCAGAGTCACCAGATCCAGCGCCTCCCGCAGCAGGGCCCCTAGCTCCAGCAGTGCGACCCTGGTGGCCAACGTACCACTCACGCAGCTGCTGTGGGGAGAGAGGGAGTCGACGACGAGAGTGCAGCGGCGAGGTACCAGCGGAGCGACTACGGAGACGGCCGCTCCAGGGAGACTGCTCACCAGACGCCTCAGCGCCCCCAGGTGCAGCACCCCCAGGCTCAGTACCCCCAGGCTCAGTACCCCCAGGCTCAGCACCCCCAAGACTCCTCACGCCCAGGCTCAGCATCCCCAGGCTCAGCACCCCCAGGCTCCGCACCCCCAGGCTCAGCACCCCCAGAAGCAGCACCCCGGGCAGGACCACCCTCAGCAGGACCCGAGTCACCAGTGACCTCAACCGGCGCAGTCAAGGGAGGAGGGTCTACCTGAGACACACCTGAAGGAGCAGGACCGGGAGCGGGGAGGGGGTCTACCTGGGGAGCACCTGGAGTGAGGAAGAGTGGCGGGGGGGGGGAGAGGGGCAGTGCGGTAGGGGAAGAGACGGTAAAAGGGAACCGACTCGTCGAACGTGACGTCCTGAGAGGGGAAGACACGGCGCGAGGTGGGGTGGTAAAACTGCCAACCAGGCGCGTCAGGGACAAAGCCAAGGAAAACACAGGGAACAGTGCGGGCGGAGAGCTTGTCCGCGGTGGTATCGCGGACAAGGGCACGAGCACCCCAGACCCGGAAACGTGACGCATCGCCAACCTTCCCCGTCCACAGCAGTGTGGGCGAGGTCTCCGGCAAGGAGACACGGGGCCAGAGGTTGAGCTGATGCGCGGCGTACCGGACCACAAACGGCCACAGAAAATGGGGGGCAGCCGCATGGATCATGGAGGTACGAGCGACCTCCATGACTAAGCCAATGCGACGCTCAGCAACCCCATTCTGCTGCGGAGAGGCCGGAAGCGTGAACGTCTGGCGGATGCCGTGCTCCGCACAGAAGGCTGCCAAGAGGTCGGAGGAAAACTCCCCACCTCTGGTCAGAGTGCAGACGCAGGACGGGAAAATCCGTCCCGAACCGCTCGCGGAGCTGGAGACGAGCAGCGCGGATCCAAGGGATCAAAACATCAGGGACCTCACCCTTGGTGTGCAAGGGGAAGACCGTACTGTAACGCGTGTAGTCGTCGACGACCAGCAGGAAGTACCGCTCGTGGCCCTGTCCACGGACGCGGGCTGGGCCCCACACGTCCAGGTGGAGAGTCTGCAGGGGAGCCTCTGTGGGAGGGAACGAGGAGGAGTGAGGAGCGGCGCGCTGCCGCCCCTCGACACAGGGAAGACAGGGAGGAGCAGGCGAGGGTGGGAGGGGAGGGAGAACCCTGGGAAGACCAGAGACAAGGACACGGCGGTGCATGCTACGAAGGCGCTGCACCGAGGGGTGACCAAGGCGGTGGTGCCAAAGGAGGGTCTGGTGCGACAAAGTGCGACACGAGCAAGGGGCCGCTAGCTGACCTGATGCAGACGCAGACGCAGCGACCTGAGGGGACACAGTAGTCAGTGTGTACAAACTCGAGCCAGGCGCACGGGTAAACGTGGCCAGGTGCCGGCCCGTCTGGGAGCACGTACAGTGGGTCACGCGCTGACCTCCAGGAGTGAACTGGTCAACCCACTGGTCCTGGAGGTCAGCACCACTCACCAAGTTCGTAGAGAACGAGGGGAGGTGAAGACCTGACAGGGAGCCAGACGGGACTGCCGGACACGGCAGGACCGTGGAGGAGTGCGCAAGGACTGGACCCCCAGAGGGGTCTGCCAGGGAGACTGGAACCGGCCGGCTGAGCGGCGTGAGGGTGGTGCTGTCGCGAAAGAAGGAGCGAGAAGCACCTGAGTCAAGTGTGAAGGTGTACAAGGCCTCAGCAGGCGCAGTACCAAAGAGAGCAGACTCACCAGCACCTGGAGCAGCAGCCTCACCAGCACCCAGAGCAGGAGACGCACTAGCACCTAGAGCAGCAGCCTCACCAGCACCGAGAGCAGCAGGCTCTATACCTGGGTCAGGCGGTACGCACAGGTAACAGGTACGGTCAGCACTAGTAGGCAATGCATACATGGCAGTGAGAATAGCATCATAGTCAAGAGCAAATATATCTACCCTCTGCCCAAGCAGCTCCACCCAGTCGGGGACCTCAGCCTCGTCGCCAAACTCGGTACGCCAGGCGTCACTCAGACGGGCGAAGCAGCGGGACTGGGTGTGACTAAGCGTCCCGCAAGTCTGACCCGTCCGATCACCTGTGCGAATGACGTACGGGCAGCGAATGGTACTCAAAGACCCTCTACTCTGAGCGTACCACTCGTGAAGTTGCTGGGACATAAGTGTCTCGCGTGGACGCCGCTGCAGCTGCAGCTGGCCACTGCCAGACGCTCCCAACTGACCAGCTCCAGGGCGACAGCTACGACGACTACCGCCACAACCCCAAATAGCGTACCACTCACGAAGCTGCTGGGGCGTGAGAGACTCGCGCGGACGTCGCTGGAGCTGCATCTGGCCACCGCCAGTACCAGTAGCAGTAGCCTAGCAGAGCAGGCGTGGCAGGCAGGCAGTCAGGCAGGCAGGCTGGCAGGCAGGCAGGCAGGCAGATGGCGCGGCAGCGCGCTAACAAGGCAGGTGCTCACCAGTGGCGGGAAGAGCAGGCGCTCGCCAGGCGAGCAGGGCCGGCGCTCGGCGGGCGGCTGCACGGGGTCCAGGGGCGGCGTCGCGGGTCCAGGGGCGGCGTCGCGGGATCCAGGGGCGGCTGCACGGAGTCCAGGGGCGGCTGCACCAGGGGCGGCTGCTTCAGGGGCCAGGGGCGGCTGCTCTGGGTCCAGGGGCGGCTGCTCGAGGGTCCCGGGGCGGCTGCACCAGGGGCGGCTGCTTCAGGGGCCAGGGGCGGCTGCTCTGGGTCCAAGGGCGGCTGCTCGAGGGTCCAGGGGCGGCTGCACCAGGGGCGGCGTAGCTGGTGCAGGGCAGCGCTCGGGTCCCACAGGCGCCGCGACTGGCGACGGGGGGCAGCGCGCAGGCCAGGCGGGGCCGCGTCGGCGGCAGGGTGGGGCCGCGACCGCGGCAGGGCGAGGCCGCGTCAGCGGCCGTAGAAAGCAGCGCGAGGGCTACGAAGCGACGCGCGGGGCAGGAGAAGGCAGCGCGGGGGCTGCGGGGCGGTGCGCGGGCCTGACAAGGCAGATAGCGGGCTACGCGCGGGGCTGACGAGGCAGCAGGCGGGCTGCTAGCGGGCTGTACGAGGGCCAGCAGAGGCCAGCACGAGGGCTGCGCGACGCAGGGCAGTGTAGGCAAGGGGCGGGGTAACTTGGTAACCGGCGGAAAACGGTTGGTGGGCCCTGAAAAACAGTCCTAAAACGGTCCTAAGGACCTATGTTGCTCTGATACCATGTCGAGAGTAAAGGGAAAAGTTGGTGCACTATCGAGAAAGTTGGGTACAAGTGACAAAAAACTATACCCTACATTAGCTACCCCACTAAAGCCTACATTCTATTATGACATAGGCATATAATTTGACAGTACCTTCTAAACTCGTGGCAGCGTGTAGTTTCTCTAGCCGCTGTAGAGTGGATATCCACACTCCTCCCTATGGCACAGACCGTGGATCAGGAGCGCGTGCTACGTGAAACCGAGCGCCGCGAGAGTCGGAAACGGACTCGGCAGGCACGGGTCGCAGAATGGGCCGAGGAGATCCGCGAGATGTTTGACGAGGAGTTCGAAGATACCTTCCGCATTACGCGCGAAGTCCTCGACATCATTGCTGACAAAATGAAATATCCAATGTCTCGTTTTGTCGAAGTGAATGAAGTTCCTTTGTGTCTTTGCTGTCTCATCCTGATTAAATACTTTGCAAGTGCTATGACTTATCACGACATGAGTATCATGTTTGGACTGCCCAGAGGACTCATCCACCGCGTGGTAGATGCCTTCTTGGTGTGGTTCCCCCGCAAGTTCAAGCGCGACTGGGTTCAGTTCCCACCGGAGGAAGTGAGAGAGGAGATGGCACTGGACTTCCGCGCAATCAAAGGAGTGCCCAACGTCATCGGTGCGATTGACGGGACACACATTCAGATAAAGGGCATGGAGGCCCACCGTGGTGACTATTTCAACCGCAAGTCCGTCTACAGCGTGCAACTTCAAGTTACATGTGACTCAAAGGGTGTCATATGGGATTACATGGTTGGCAATCCGGGCTCAATGCATGACCATGGTGTTTTCTCTACATCAGATCTTCATGGCATGCTAGAGAGTGGGAAAATCGCCCCCTATCAGCTTGTGGGGGATGCGGCCTACCCTCTGAAGTCCTACATGCTCACCCCCCTTCACGCTCCACGACGACGCCTGATGAAGAAGTGGGAGCAGACGTACAACTACGTCCAATCTGCAACGCGCATGGTGGTCGAGCGCACGATTCGCGCACTGAAGGGACGCTGGAGGCTCTTCGCGCGCAGGCACGAGAGAAAACTCTGGCGCGTGTGTGCAGGGACGGCCTGCATCATCATCCTGCACAACATGCTGCAGACCGTTAGTACGCCCAGGATGAAAACGAACAACCCCCGCCGCTATATATGGGCTGGACTCCCGAATGGCTGGTGGACGAGGAGTGGCATGGATAAGTACGAGTGGCGGAGCCTAGACAACCCAACGCTTGCCGATCTGCGCGCTCGCCGGCACCACTTCGGCAAGCACATCCATCGTGCTTACCTCCGGCGTCACCGTGTGTCATCCACCGCGTGCTAAGGCTCGTGCTGCTCCGCCACATCCTCCGACCCCGCCATGTTGGCGTCGCTTGCGTCTGCAGGCGGTGCTGGTGGCGGCGTAGTCGCGGGCGCCGCAGGTGGTACGGGCGAACTGGCCATCTGCTGTCGTAAGCCAGCCTGCATCGCCGCCATGTTCATGGCGCTGACAAGTAGTCGCGTCGAGTCTTGAAGCTGGCGCAACGCCATCGCGTTGGAGGAATGAATGGCGTCGCTCACAAGCTTAGCTGTTGCCATTGTGGCGGTTTCGTCTATCCGCCTGCGTTTGGGTGGAGGTGTGACTACATCATCTGTAGGGGTGGGTGTAGGGACGTATGGCAATAAGGCGGCTTTGATGTTTGTTTGTATGATTGTCATTGAAATGTAGTATTGAAGAGCATGCCTTTAATGTTGCTACTGGGAGTCAATGGGCAGGCATTGAAGCATTGGCACAACTCACCTTGTGTTGCCACTCCACGTCGGTTTCCGCGTTGACGTCCCTGCGAGGGAGGAGTCGAGGTCTCCCCGACGTTGGTGCCGGGCACGGTAGCGTACGCAGGGACGTCAACGTTAGCGGCACCGCCTCCGTCCAGTGCGTGGGCATTGGCTTTAGCCGAGTGTTTCTTGAGATGATAAACGTAATCCCACCACGGCTTCTTCTTGATAGCTTTCCCCCCGCTTTGCGTCTCCGACCATTTCGTTTTCAGGTACTTTTTCTCGAGACGTTTCCACGCATTCGACATTTGCCCCTCATCGCGGGCCCACGTGGCGTCCCTCTCAACCATATGAGCTCGCAGCTTCTTCCAGTACTGGCTCCCTTGCTTCCCTTGCATCGCCTTCAGGTCGTCCTTCGTGTTCCAACGAGCGGCCGCGAGTGATGTCAGCTCTGCGTCCGACCACACCCGCTTGTTGCGCGTCGCCGGCGGGCGCTTCTCCTTCTTCGATCGACGTGTGCTGCGGTCGTCACCGCTTCCTTCTTCGGCACCGTCCGAATCTTCCTCTTCGTCGTCACTGCCGGCCTTGTAGTTGTCGGAATCGGCATCACTGTCCGATTCCGACACGATCTCCTCAAGCTCGTCGTCGCTGACGTCCGTGTCGGCCCTAGTTTCGTCGTCGTCATGCCCAGGACCGCTGCTAGTGCTGGCGCCAGCAGAGTCGCGCTTTGCCTTTGCAATACGCTTGATGGAAGGGGACGGCTTCCCCTGCTTTTGCTGCTCCTTCATCCATGCGACATACGGGGGGTCTTCCATCGGTTCATCGTCGCTAAGTTTCTCCTTTCCCTTGCCGCGTGCGCTTCGGCGTGGAGGCATTGCTAAAAACGTAGATAGCGAGGTGGTGTGGAAGCTCGGGAACACTTGTGAGGGAGATTTGTTTTTGCTCATGCTTGTGCTGATTGCCCAAGTGCTGGAAACGCTTGCGTGTGGAGGTTGCAAGAGGGGGGTTTGGTTGGGTTGGGATCTGGAGCCGCACAGATCTGCATGTAACTCTTCCCACCGGGAATTTTGACGGAGTTGAGGGTGGGATGAGTGTCGCTCAACCAGATGAAGGAGTTCGTGCGTCATGGAATGGCGCGTCTCAATTTGATGCGACTGTCGTAGGGCCCGAATTTTAGGCGGGAAAACCCACGCGCCAGTTTGGGGGTCGCATGAAGGCACTGGATCCAAAGTGGTGTTTTGTGTTGTTTGAGTCATCCGCAAATCGCGGATGCCCGGAACAGTGCCCATGACCCGAACCTGGATACGCCCTAAGATGACGATGCGTCCATTCCATGCACAGGAATTTCCCTCCTTGGTTGGATCACCTTGGAGTTGCATGCACTCCATCCAGTATCAAACTGAATCGTCCCGGACCGAACCAGACCAGAGAAGTCTCGGTTTTGCTAGACTCGGCAAATTTCAGCAATGCTAGGGAGTTCCCATTTGACAATTCCCGAGCAAATTCGGGAAAAACTCCACTCGGGCTTTGTCAGCTTTGGCGGGCTTTGCGAGGGTGAAGCGCGGTTTCGCTGCTTCACACTAATCCACTACCGGTACGGTATGTCCTAAACCTTGTCAAAACGTCAACAATACTAAACATGGAGGGTGATAATGTGGCCACAGCTAATATGTTGTTCTACTCTACAGAATGAGTTGCAGAGTATAGCATATAACAAGTACAGTTTGCTTACAGCAAAACGTATCACATAACAGGGCAGCTGGACTCGTACATGTTCAGATAAGGCAAGAACGGAGAGGGGGGCGGGGCATTTGAAAACGCAATGCTCAGCTGCGGAATCGATGCAGATCTCATCCAAGCAGGCATGGATCCATGCGCCTCCCTCAGAGAATCACACCCTTTTATAGTCACCTTCCGAGCCCGCTTCATCTTGCCCAGAAAATCCACCGAGCAGATCGGAAGGTCCTGCAGCTCAAGCTCTTGAAGCTTGGCGAGTGATCCGGTAGAATCAGGGAGCGAGCGGAGGGGGAGGGAGAGGAGGCGGAGGGTGTGGAGAGAAGAGAGGTTGCCGAGATCCCAGGGGAGGGCGCGGAGTGTGGGGCAGTGTGCAATGTGGAGCATACGGAGGGATGTGAGAGAGGAGAAGGACGGTGGGAGGGTGGAGAGTTTGGTGTGGGAGATGGTGAGGGAGAGGAGGGAGGGGAAGGTGAAGTTTGCAGGGAGGGCGGTGAGAGGGACGTGGGATATGACGAGGATTCGGAGGCTGGTCAGCTCGCCAAACGAGTCGGGCAGAGTCGAGAGCTGAGACAGGCTCATCAGCTTCAGCTTCTTGAGGTTTTTCAGCTGCCCGATGGATGCGGGCAGAGCACGCAGGTTGGTCAGCCCGGTCAGCAGCAGAGACTGAAGTCGAGAGAGGGAGCCAAGCGAAGCGGGAAGGCTTGGAACGGGAATCCACTGAAAGTCCATCTCCGAAAGATTCATTAGCTGCCCGAGAGACTCGGGCACCTGGCGGAGAGACGTGCAGGACACACACTCCAGCTGCTTGAGTGCCGAAAGGGTACCCAAGGTCTCGGGCAGGTTGGAAAGGTTCGGCATGCTGAGCAGCACAAGCCAATGGAGCGACGCAAGCTGCCCGAAGGAAGGGGGCAGCTGTGTGATCCCGGCCAGGCGAAGGGTCAGCGACTGCAGAGCTGAAAGATTGCCAAATGTGCCGGGAAGGGTGTCTACTCGCATAAGGTCTAGCAGCTCCAGGAACTCAAGAGATTTCAGCTGCCCAAAGTTCTCCGGCAGGGCAAGGACCGAGCTACAGCCAATCATGCGAAGCTTCTTGAGCTTTTCCAGCTGCCCGAAAGTGTCGGGCAGACCCACCAGCGCCTTGCAGTTCCAGATCTCCAGCGCCTGAAGCGACGAGAGCTGCCCGAAAGACGCGGGCAGGTCCTGCAACACCGGGCAGTTCACCAGCTGCATGGACCGCAGATTCCCCAGCTGCCCGAAATCCTTGGGCAGGCCCTTCAGCGAATGACAGTCCTTGATTATGACAGAATCCAAGCAAAGCAGACTCGCCAAGCTATCCGGGAGAGCGGAGAGTGACAGGCATTTCTTGATCTCAAGTGAGCGGAGGGAAGTCAATGAGCCGATGTTGGTGGGGAGGGAAGCGAGCTTAGAACAGACGTTGAGGCGGAGGAGAGTGAGTGAGGAGAGAGAGCAGAGGGAGGAGGGGAGGGCGGTGAGGTAGCGCGAGTGCGTAATCTCAAGTGAGGTGAGCCGGGACAGGGGCAGCAGGCTGAGATCGTCGAGTTCGGTCAGCGGGCAGGCGAGCGAAAGATCTTGAAGGTCGTGGAAGAGGGACCAAGAGAAAGGGACATCTGCTGCAGCCCACCCTAAGTGGAGCACTCGCAGGTCGAGAAATTTTATTGAGATTTCTGGGATCGGTTGGAGAGTTTCAAACCCGGTCAAGCGGAGCACCAGGAGGTTGGGCAGCTGGGAAAACCCTTTGGGCAGCTGGTTCAGCTTGTTGCATGCAGCGACCTCAAAAGTTTCCAACGAAGCCAGGGAGGAGAGGGATTCGGGCAGCTTCGCAAGGCTCGTGCACTGGTTGAGGACCAGCGTCCGGAGCCGCGGCAGGCTGCCCAGAGACTCGGGCAGCTCCGAAATAGCCCGGCACCCGGTGATCTTCAGCTCCTCCAAATCAGCAAGCTGCCCGATTTCCGCGGGCAGCGCTTTCAGCTTCAGGCACGAGTCCAGATGCAGCGTACGGAGGACAGGCAGGCGGCAAACGGAATCCGGAATTTCAGCCACCATCTCGCTCATAACCCTCAGGTACTGCAGCTGCGTGACCTGCCCGAGCTCCTCGGGCAGCGGAAAAACATCGTGCCGGGTGAACTTGTGCGCGAGAACGCGCCGTAGCGGCACGAGATGCAGAGCCGTCAGATGCGGACACGTGGCAAGCGTGGAGGCGATCCCGGGGGAGAGGCAGGGCGCGGGGACCTCGAGAGACGCCAGCTGGCGAAATCTGTGGAGGCCGCAGGCTAGGCCACCTGGCAGGCTGTGAATGGCGGATTCTGAGAGCGAGAGCGTGCGGATGCCGTCATTGGCTGCGTAGCGCCAGCGGTGACACGCGCACGCCGCTGCGAGCCAATCCCGAGGCGAGGTGAGGTGCGTGAACACGAGCGCGAGACAGTCGTCTGGAAGATCGGCGATGGTGGTTGATGAGGAGGAGGGGGAGTAGGGGGAAGGGGAGGAGGGTGAGGGGGAGGAAGGGGAGAGGGAGTCGGCGGAAAGCGGGGAGGAATGGGATGCGGAGGCGGCAGGGGGGGCGTTGAAGCGGGATGCGCGGAAGGCGGGGGCGGAGGCGGAAGGGGAGGAGGTGGGGCTGGATTCGGAGTCGGAGGGTGATGGGAGGACAGAGCCGTCGGGAGGGAGGCGGTTGTAGCGAAACGGCGACGGGTGCTGGGCGGCTGAAGGAAGAGGAACGGGGTGGAATGGAGAGAGTGGGGAAGAGGGAGGGGAAAAGAGAGTGAACGTTTACATTTTATTGCCTGCTGCGGAGTGTTCGATGAATTGCAAGGGGCTTGCTTTTTTGGAAATGGTTAATCGCACGTAAAGTACATCCGAAAGAGCGAAGGAGAGTAGGAGCGAAAGCGTTGCGAAATGCAGCACGGGAACGGCTCAAGCGAAACGTATCAGGAAGCGAGGATTGTACTTGTCTAGGGAGAGAAGATTCGTTTTAGTGCGACTAAGAAAGGATCGCTGAAGTGCGTAACCCGAAGGAGCGTTGCGAGGAAGTGCGTAATGCGGGGTGGGTGTCGCAAGAAACGTTGTACCTGGAGAGTGCAGGGTAAGGAGGTTAGACGCGGCGACAGACGGCGACGCGAGCCAACCCCATCCGTTGGATTGGCCCTCTTCAGATTGATCGAACGGCCTCGGGGAAGACACGTTCAGCTGCGGCGGAACGGGCTCCATGCTGATGTGGCCCGCAAGAAATGCGTTACGAGACGGAAGAACGGAGGAGCTTCGACGCAAGAAAGTGACTCTGAACCGCGATGCTCCCGCAACACGCTTCTTCAGACGCCTGATAGATTCTAGCGAATGCCGACCCACAGGAAATTTCTCAAGGGCCTGGATTACCGGAAATATCCCGCGAATGCTGGTGACCACTTGATCTACAACTGGAGCCTGGAACCCAGGAATGCCGGAGTGCCAGAAGCGTGTAATCACGAGCAATGCCGGTAATGCTGGACGCCTTATGCAATGTTAGGGCCTGGATCCACGCGAAACGCTTCTGACAGGATTCTTCTGGAGCTCCTAATGTGTTTTTTTTCTCATTCTCTTTCAGGCACCTCGGAAATGCCACGAAGGATGAAATTTCTGTGAAGCTCCTGAAACCAGAGAAGACAAAGAAATAAAGAAACGTTCAAAGAGAAGAAAGAAACTGCAGAATAGCGGACTGAAGCTGGAAATAGCTTGTCCGCATCAAATACATATGGCTTTGATCTGAACTTGTATTGTTGCTCACTGTACTTTCTTTCCCCATATAGAAGCTTAATAATGTGCAAACATACCTGCTTTGGTTTCAAGATCTTGAAAGCGCTGCTTCACTAACGTATCAAAGCGGACCTCGAATGTTAATGAAGCGAAGCTGGTGCAGAAAACAGGTAGGTTATGTCAACGTAAGAACCTGAATAGCAGTCTTGATGTCCAAAAAAAATCCTTGATCGTCGTTATCGGAAACGGGATCACGGCACAAAGACCTTGGAAGGTACGGCAATAGTATGAGGAGGCCACTGGGGCATGTGGAGGACGAAGGTAGGACAGGCAAGCTTCTAAATTTCTTTTCAGCTGCTCTCATTCATGTGAGACACGGACGACCCACAACAACACAAGCTGCTCTCACCTGACAGATTGAGGCAGAGCCGCAAACGACGCAAGTGACAATTGATTTTGCTGATTCTGAAAATTGATTAGTTTTGGGCAGCTTTTGCTGTTGTTTGCACCAATTCCAAGCCGTACTCACTAGCTGTGAAGGTTGTGGTGTGTGGGTGGGATGCAAGTTTCCTCCCCTTCAACTTTTAAATTTTGCCTTAACTGAGACTGTTGAAAATTGACATAAGTTCAGGGCAGATCGGGGAACGCCAGGCAGAAAAGCCCAGATGTGGCGCGAAAGCTGTACGGCTGCGGCCGTGTTTCACGCCAACAGTTTTACTGCCTGAAAATATCCAACGGATGGGATGCCTCCTCTCGTCTCCCCACGTGTACAGCAGTTTCTTCACCTGATGTGACGACGAGGAAGCGAGAGAATGTCATAACGAGAACAGGTGTATGTTATTCATATTATCAGACTTATACTGAGTGATGCAAAAACATAACAAAATGCTAGCTTCACCATTTCATTTCATACATCCCATCCAAAGAACCCTAGCCAGCTCGACCTTCCAGAAGCTAGTGAATGGTGGCAATGTGCCCTTGAAATTGTGTGAGCCTGGGCACTATTTGCTTGTCCACCAACCCAACTTCACCAGTACCATTGAGGTTTTGCTGCCATGTCATCTGCAAAGAAAGATCCCATAGGAGGAAGGAACATGAGTGTGTATGTGAGTAAGAGGGATGGACAGAAGGAAAAGAGAGAGAGGAGGGGAGGAAGATAAGAGACAAGGGCCAAATAACCTCCTCTCACTAGCTAAAACTACTGTCACTGCACTTTCCTCCCCACCCTCCAATCACATCCACTTCCAGCCTCCATCACTCCTACCCATTCACCAACAGGGGGCATGCTCCGCACCATGAAAGCCAACTGCCCCATCCGAACACCCGGTGCGCCACACAGCTTCCCCACCATGATCGCACTCACCCCCAATCATGTTCTCCATGCAACAAACCCTCACCTCACACACACTCACCAATAGGGGGCGTGTCCTGCGCTATGAAAACCACCTGCCCCATCCGCACACTCTGCGGGTGCCAAATATTCTTCACCATGACATCCCATCACACCAACCGCCTCCCACTTGCTCCCCACTCACCTCCACTTTGATTGATCACACTCCACCGTCCGCACGCTCTGCGCGCCCCACGCCCACAGCACCAGCAGCCACACATTCCCCACCATGCCCGCACTCACCTCCCCTCCTACTCTCCATGCTTCAAACCCCCACACCCGCTCACCATCAGGGGGCGTGTCCAGAGCCATGAGAGCCAACTGAGCCATCCGCACACTCTGCAGGTACCACACAACTGCCACACTATTCACCAGTCCTACCACCCACTCACCAACAACGTGATAAAAGTTGTATTTTGAGACGTCTCAAAATACCATTCCTCACACCCACTCACCAACAGGGGGCGTGTCTCTTGCCATCAGAGCCACCTGCGCCGTCCGAACAGTCAAGAGGCACCACACATTCTCCACCATGCCCACCATTCCTCACACGCACTCACCAACAGGTTGAGTGTCCCGCGCCATCAGAGCCACCTGCGCCGTCCGCACGCTCTGCGGCCGCCACGCCCACAGCACCAGCCGCCACGCATCCGGCACCGCCCCCACCTGCCACGCCACAGCGCACGCCTCCCCCGTCCCCGCCACACACCTCACAATCCTCACTCTCCTCACCACCGGCCGTAGGCACCTCGACAGCCACACCATGTGCTTCGCGTCGATCCACCCGCCGCCTCTCCGGGCGGAGAGGGAGCGGCGGAGGGTGCGGCGGAAACGGTCGAACATGAAGAGGGGCGTTCGGTCCATCTCCACGTGCCGCACGTACATCCAGGCTCGGAAGTACCGGGCCGAGCGCAGGCACGGGCGCGCCGGGCCGACATGGGAGCCTGGGGGACCGAGGAGAGTGCCTCTACTGCTTGCAGTGGGCCCTTGTTTCGGAAAGAAGCACTTCTCCTCGATGACTACCGACATGCCGTTGAACATGCACGAGCGTGCAATGCCCTTGGCACTGCTCTCCCCTCCCACCCTGTCCCCCTCCGCAACCCCCTCCACACCCATCCCATCAGCCCCATCCCCATTACCCACGCTCTCACCACCACCACCACCAGCATCATCCCCACCACCACCGCTGCCGCCGCTAGCACCACTGCTACTGCTGCTGCTGCTGCTACTATTACTCTTCCGGCCGGCAGGGATAATCGGCACCTCCATCTCAGCCTCTACGAGCACAAACGGCACGTACATGCGCGTCAGCACCGGCAAGTCCGGCGCCCTCCTCCCCGGGTGCTTCTCGTTCTTCTTCACTAGGCTGCGCCGCACTGTGAACAGCTGCCCGTCTCGCAGGGAGGATGACCGCCATAGGTCTTCCACTCGGTTCACGCGGAGAGGGGGGAATTCTTCCACGCGCCCCATCCACAGCTGCGGGTCTCCCGTGACTGCTGGGGGTGGGTCGCTGCTGCTGGCTAACAGTCGACGCCGGCTGCTGGCCTGTAACTGGCTGCTTCTGTTACTCGGTCGCTGCTGCGACTGACCTGCAACCTCTTGATGCTGCTCGTGGTGAAGCAGCGCCTGGCTGCCTGTGTGCCGCTGCCTGGCCATTGAGCCGTTGTAAGCCCAACGCCCGCCTCTGCTCCTCCCCCTGTCCCTAATCCTGTTCCTACCCTTGGTTCTATGCCTGTCATCATCCCTATGCCTCGTTCTGCCCCTGTATCTGTCACTCTCACTGACCCTGTCACTAGCCCTGTCCCTGTCTCCTTCTCTCTCTCCCTCCGTCTTGACACCTCTGTCGCCTCTCGTGGGCAGCGCCAGGTAAGGAGAAGGCTGATGTCCAAACCTTGTCCCTGTCTCTGTCCCTGCCCTTGCCGCTGTTCGCCCTGTCCTTGCCCCTGCCCCTGCCGCTGCCTCTGCTCGCCCTGCCGCTAGCCCTGCCCCTGCCCCTGGCCCCGCCCCTGCCCCTGCCCCCGCATCTGCGCCCGCCCCTGCCCATGCCCCTGCCGCTGCCCCTGTCCTCCCACTAGCCAGCAGCCGTCGCCTCCCACCCCCTCTCTCCTTCAACAATCTCCTTCCCCCACCGCCCTTCCCACTTCTGTCCTTCTTCTTCCCTTCGTCCTTCCCCTTCCCCTTCCCCTTCCCCTTCCCCTTTCCCTTTCCTTTCCCTTTCCCCTTCACCGTCTCCTTCCTCTTCGCATTCTCCCGCTCCCACTCCTCCACATCCCCCCGCCCCCCTCCCCCGCCCGACCCCCCCCTTCCCCTCACCAATCTCCCATACTCCTCTAGGAACTCGTGCAGAGAACCGAGTCTTTCTACAAAGGGTACAAACCCGCTAGCAGCAGCCATCCAGGGAATGGACGAATCACAGACAGTCTTATCGCGGACAAGGCAGGGCACTGAGGGGGCGGGCGGGAGGGATCCCCAGAAGGGCAGATGACGCATTTGAAAGCGGTTGAAACCGGTTAGAGAGAAGAACGCGAGGATGAGGCGGGACTGTTCGCTCTGGGAGGCTGGGAGGAAGAAGCGGCGGGTGTCTTTAGGGGAGGGGAAAGGGGTGGGGGTGGGGGTGTCAGGAGAGTCTGCAGTGCCGTAGCTGTTATTGTTACTGTTACCGTTACTGTTACCGTTGTTGTCACTGCTGCTGCTGCTGCTGCTGCTGTTTTCACTGGTTTTACTACGGCCAGCACCAGCGCCAGCAACAATTGCCCTCCCTGCACTCTCCCCGTCTGCCTGTGCGCCCAAATCCCCCCCCGCTCCCCCTTCCGCCTGCACCTGCGCGCGCATGTCCGTCCCCGCGTCCCCCTCCGCCACCCACATGAGCCCCCTGAGCGCCGCATCCACAAACCCCCTGCACCGCTGCCCCACAATCACCCCCCACTTGTGCCGCAGAAACACCTGGTTCGCCGTGCACACATCATCCCCACTCTGGCTCACGAAATACACGAGGTCGCTGGTGCGTATACTCGTGGACGGCTGGTGGTATACCACCACCGACTGCGGCACCAGAAACGCCTTGTAGTTAAAATACCTTGTCGTAAGCGCTATGTCTAGATCCTGCCGAGTATACCCGACCTGGGGGTCAAACACCTGTGCCTCCAGCAGGAACGAGTGCCGGACGAGCAAGCAGTGATCCTCTATCCCCACGGCTGATTCCCTTGGGTCGAGAAGAGTGGGGTCTAGCGCGGCGGCGACCTGCGGGTCTTCTATGGGCTGGGGGTACAGCTTCCCGTCGTTGCTGAAGTCGTCCAGGATCATATCCGCGCCGAACGCGGCGTGCAGGCGCATGCTCTCCCCCTCCGCCTTGCACCTGCTGCCCGTGTGCGTCTTCCTCGCGTGCCCTAACTCCCTGCCACCGCTGTCACCGCTGTCACCGCTGCCGCCGCCACTGCTGCTGATGCCACTCTCGTCCCCATCGCCTCCCGCTCCACTTCCCCCTCCGCTTCCCCCTCCGCCTTCCACCATACCATCCATGGACATCATTCCCTTGAAGCTCGGTGCCGAGCCTCCGCCGGATTGCTCCCACAGGAACGGCAAGAAGATCACCCCCTCTCCCCCCCTAGCCTCGGCAAACATATACAGCTTCTGCAGCCACCGGTGACCTAGGGGAAACACGTCTGAGAATATGAATAATGCGTACTTAGTCTTAATTAGCTCCACTGACGCGTTTCGCATCGCGAATCCGCTCGCGTGGCGCCCTACGTCTTTAATCACCATGCGCCGCTCCTGCTGCTGCTGGTACTGCACGGACCCGTCCGCGGCGGGCGATCCGCGCAGCACCGCGTTCCCGCGCCACATCCCCGCGTCCGCCTCGCGCTTCCGCCGCAGCACGTGCGCGCGCACGCGCGCGGGCATGTCCGCGGAGAGCAGGTACACGACGGGGGAGGGGGGGGTGTTGCGGAGCACCGCGTCCAGCTGCGCGGGCGCGGAGCTGAAGGTGTGCTTAGCGGAGATAACTATAGTGATATCTTGCGCAACCTGTTCGTCTAACGAAGCCTCGTACATATCAAACACCTCCTCCTCATCCTCGTCCCCCCTCCTTCCGTTCCCGCTTCTCCCGCTGCTGCTGCCCCTACCGCTGACGTCAGCACCGCCGGACCCCGAATCTTCTAGCGACCTTCCGTGTCCTTTCGCCCCATGCCCGCCCAACCCCGAGTGCTTATGGTGGGATACGGCCAAAACCCCTTTATGGTCACGCTCCAGTAGAAGCAACTGCCGACGCTCCTCTAAACTCGGGCCAACCTCTGATAGCCTCGTCCTGGACCCATTATCAGAACCCTCAGTCAGCTTATCAGGCTGCTTATCAGACCCTACGGACCACCGATCAGTGACCCGAGCCTGAGCTGCCGCCCCATCCCCGTCCTCGTCAGTCCCGTTATTGTCACCATTCCCGTTATCGAGACTCCCGTTACTCCCCTCCATCATCACGGCGCTTAAAAGATCCGATACGCTCTGATTCCCGTAATCCGCCAGCCCTCTATGCTGCCATGGCTCCTCCGACCCTTCCGCCAACCCCCACCTTCCCAACCCTCCACCACCGTTTCCGTTTCCTCCTCCGTTACCGTTACCGTTTCCGTTTCCGTTTTCCCGTCTGAAGCTCTTCTCCTCTCCCAGCGGATCGTCATCGAGATCTATCCGCGACTCGAGCTCGGAATAAAGGAACACAAAGGCGATTACGATCGCCAGCAGCAGCAACAGCCGCCCGGTGGACAGGAGCAGGTCCGGGCCCGCGTGCGCGGAGGAATGCGCGCGGCGGCGATGGCGCGCGGAAAGAGGTTGCGCGGAAAGGGAATGCGCGGAAAGCGGGCTGGCGTCGGCTTCACCGGAATGCGCGAGCGTCGTCCGCGGCGTATGGTGCAGGGGGGAGGTCTGGTAAGGCGGTGAGTGGTGGTTGATAGGAGCGGAGTGCTGTGGATGCGGAGGGGGGGGTTGGTGGGAAAGGGAGGAATGGTGGGCATGGGAGGTTTGGTGAAGGCCGGGCGAATGATCTGACGTCACGCGGTGAACCGCCTCCTTGTGCTTGACGGTCACCATCAGCTGCTGTTGCTCTTACCATGGATTGCTACCATGGGCTGCTGCTCTGTTGCTCTGCTGCTCTCACCATGAGCTGCTACCATTGGCAGCTGTTTTCGTGATCATGTGCTACTCGTCTCTCGCTCATTGGCAAGCCACTTCGCGTTCTGATTAGAAGCCACTCGTCTCGTGATCATGGCAGGGCCGGGATGTCTAACGCTGAAGGGTCTCAGATGTTCACGTGTGCAGTGGTATCACGGCCTTGTGGTCTCCGGATCTCTGTGACTGTTGTGAACATTGCGAGAGCCTGACCGACCTTCCGATCCCTTGGTACCGTCTCGTCTCGAGTCCCTTTTTATTGAATGCAGGGATTCGCTACTGAAATGGAAATGCATCGAAGTGATGAAATTCAGGAACTCGATCAGGGTCTAAGCCTGTGACATAACAATCTCGCGAGCCAATTATTCGACATTTCGATTGCTCGCAACGTCGTTAATCACAAAAAGCTTGCAGTTCGCAGCTGCCTGTCCGGGATATGCTCTACGAATTGTACCTTCATCCCCGTACCCTAATTATAGTATTCCGAGTCACGCTTTACAAGACTGGGAGATGTGAGATGAGACCGGGAACCAGAGAATAGACGTAAGAAGTAATTTGTGCGTGTGACAAAGACCAAGGAGCCCTTGGGTTGGGAGGTAAGGGGGAGCTAATTAGGTACTGTACTGTACAGTATGTTCAATTCAGGTATGGTTTCAGGTTTGGAAGAATTACCACTGAGACCCAAGCTGATGGTAGGTATGGGACGGAAGTTTTGGTTGGGAAAGTGGTTTAGGACATGGGTGGTTATGGTATGGATGGTAAATACACGTGCGGTGCACAGACCACCAGGCAGACATACCACTGTACGACTGATGAGATAGAGCTCTAAAACGCTGAGGACCTTACTGAATCGTAGTCAGATGGACGCCTTGAAGCTCCAATGACTACGAGGTACGGACGGACGGAGCTTTCTGTAGATGACGGAAAAGAGTGAGCCGTCGGCAGGGAAGGACAAACGACGGGAGAGCGGGAAACTTGGTGATTCGCGTCGTCAGATCAAAGCTTGGGGGTTCCGTTGTCACACCCAGTCTTCTGTCTGTGATTGGTTCGAAGCCAGTCAAAGTCGGTTAGGCCCGGTTCCTTGGTCAGGTTTGGTGGGGTCGAAGTCTCCTTGGGTTACCTTCAAACTGAGGTTCTGATCGATCATCGGTTCTTAGACGTCCTGAAATTGCTTATTTCAATTTAAAATCCTGGATTTGCTTGTGTTTACGGATGAGGTGACATTGAACATTAGATTCGAATGTGGAATACCCAGTCCCGGAAATGTCCCATACTTTCTTTCGAGCACGCCTTGCCGAGTTTCTCTGGGATTATTTCTAGACTTGGTTTGGATGGATCTTGTTGCTGCGCGCCACGGCAAGCTCAGAGGAGGGAGGTACTGTCTGGGCGAGGCTGCTGGTGACTGGTCATAGACTGCGCTCACCACCAGCCAGTCGGATGGTATGGCATGGCAAGCCATAAGATTTTTTTGTGACACCGCCAGAGTCACATAATTCTCGTTACAATAGTACTGTCGCTTTACATATGCTTCCAAATTGTATGAATGCCATGATGCCAGAAATCGAATTACTGTACACAATTTACGAGCGCTTGTTCATGCTATAAACAAGAATGGCTAATGTGGAATCAAATGTTGTCAGCACCACTTCAGGGTCACCCCAGCATACCCCATTGTATCTTGCCGCACTAAGAATTTCCGTGTGCGGCTCGTTGAAAGGCTCAGGCGCGTTGCGAGAATCTTGTCACGTGGCGAGGCGCTCAGGTCGGCCGAAACAGGAGGATCATCTAAGTCTGCTCCATCGTGCAACCCTTGCGCTACGACTCACATATCAATCCAATCTCCGAGTCTGCTCATCTATTCCTTCCCAGCCGTTTACCCCGCAACCGTCGTCCCCATGGTTTCAGAGGAGGCGATTCCGCAATCCGACATGGCTGGCGGCGACCCACCAGCCTCGAATTGCTCGCCGAATGCTACTTATTCCTCAGTCCCGCCGAACGTCACCACCCGCGTCGCGTTCGTATTGATCGACGGAATCGGCGACGTGGCAGTGCCGTTGCTGGGCGGCCTGACGCCGCTCGAGGCGGCACATACGCCGAATCTGGATGCGATCGCGGCGGCGGGAGTCAACGGTCTGATGGACCCTGTGGAACCCGGGCTCGCATGCGGCAGGTGCGAATTTGACAGTCAAAGGGTTTCCGTGGAACCCGGAATGGCGTGCGGCAGTTACGAAGCACCGTTTATCATCCCGCGCTCTCCTGAGGCGCCACAATAGGCGACGACGGGGCCCCTGCTAGGCAGAGAATCCCTCCCTCTCTCTTCCCCCCCACAGCCCCCTCTCCCCTCGCGCTCCCAGGCCCATCTCCCTCTCCGCCTTTCCGCCCTTCCCCTCGCCGAATCTTGACGCGATCGCGGCGGCGCGATTCGACGGTCTGATGGACCCTGTCGAACCCACGCTCGCGTGCGTCAGGTAGGAATCTGACTTGCTGACGGTTCCTGGCCTGGGCCCTGATGCGGCGTAGCGGATGTGCCGCCTGGAGCGGCGGAAATCAACGGTTAGAGTGAATCACTTACCATGTTCTTCCCCCGTGCGCCGCACTATGCACCCCTCTTTGCAGCGACACGGCGCATTTCTCGACACGGCGCATTTCTCACTGCTACAGCTACAACCCCCGCCCTGCCAGCACTACAGGGGGGGGGAGTCAATGTAGCATCCTCACAACAACACCCTACTTCCCCCACCTGACTTCCCTTCCCCCTGCGGCCCGCCCCCACTCTTTGCAGTGACACGGCGCATCTCTCTCTGCTGGGTTACAACCCCCGCCAGCACTACCGGGGGCGAGGGGCGTTTGAGTCCATGGGCGCCGGGATCCCCATGCAGCCTGGGGACATTGCATTCAAGGTGAGTGGGTGGGTGGGTGGGTGGGTGGTTCTTATGCATTGTGATTTGGATTGAAGTCGATGGGCGCCGGGATCCCCATGCAGCCTGGGGACAATGCGTTCAAGGTGAGTGATACGCATGGTGAGTTTGCTAGTAGCGAGTATGCTTCAAACGAGTCCATGGGCGCCGGGATCCCTATGCAGTCTGGGGACATTGCATTCAAGGTGGGTTACATGCATAGTGTGTGAGGGTTGGTGGGTGGGTGGGTGGGTTGTGCACATGATGAGTCAAGGAGGAATGCACAATATGCATGGTGAGTTGGGTTTGAGTCCATGGTTGGCGGGATTCCTATGCAGCCTGGGGACATGGCATTCAAGCTGAGTCATACGCATAGTGAGTTTGCTAGTAGCGAGTATGCTTCAAACGAGTCCATGGGCGGCGGGATCCCCATGCAGCCTTGGGATATCGCTTTCAAGGTGGGTGTGTGATTGGTATACTGCAAGCGAGTATGGGTGTACGCTACAAACGAGTATGCGAATTTGCTCCCAACAGGGCCACGGGGAGCCGGGATTCTTATGCAGCCTGGGGACACCGCATTCAAGGTGATTAATATGCTTTTAAACGAGTATGCTATACTGGGGAAATCGCTGAGTGGGTGGGTGGGCGGGTGGTGAGCAGCAGGGCGAGTTTTAAGCCCTCCCATCTCTCTACCTCTCCCCGCCTCTTCCCTACTCTCCGCTTCTCTCCACTGCAGAGCAATGTGGTAGTGTTGGACGAGGCAAAGGGATCATGGTGAAGCGCAGGGCGCAGGGGGCAGGGCGTAGGGGGCAGGGCGTAGGGGGCAGGGCGTAGGGGGCAGGGCGTAGGGGGCAGGGCGTAGGGGGCAGGGCGTAGGGGGCAGGGCGTAGGGGGCAGGGCGTAGGGGGCAGGGCGTAGGGGGCAGGGCGTAGAGGGCAGGACTTAGGGGGCAGGACGCAAGACGCATCATTCCGATCTTACTCTCCAGCTCTGGCCCCTTACCAACCCTCCGCCCCTCTCCCGACCCTCTTCTCCCCTCCCCCCCACCTCCCCCTCTCCCCCCTCACCCCCACAGAGCAACTTTGCAGTGTTAGACGAGGCAACGGGGATCGTGGTGAAGCGCCGGGCGGATCGGCACTTTGAGGAGGAGTGGCCAATCCTGTGCCGCCACCTGGATGGCCTGAAGATTCCTGGATTCCCGGACTACCAAGTCAGCATCAAGTATGCACGGCCAACGCTTTGTTTCCTAGTTTCCTACCTTGTTACTGAATATATCAGATGTATCACATTTTTTTTTGTTAATTTTTCTTTCTTTTCAGTTTTGTTTTCTTCGAATTTTCTTTCCCCTCCCCCCCCCCCCCCCCCCATAATCCCAACCCCCCCACTCACTCTCTCCCCTTCTCACCCACCCCAGATATGCCACAGAGCACAGGTGCGGCGTGGTGGTTCGGGGCCCAGGCCTGTCGGACAGGATCGGTGGTACCGACCCTCTGAAGGACGGGCGGGCGCTAGGTGTCGCGACGCCATTGGACAGCAGCCCGGAGGCAGATCTGACGGCTCGTGTGGTGAACGCTCTGAGTGACGCCATCCGGGCAGAATTGAAAACTCATCCAACGCGCAGCGGGCAGCGCAGGGAAAGAATGTGGCGAACGTGGTTCTTCTGCGCGGCTGTGGAATCAGGATTGAGGTGAGGGGGTGGAAGGAGAAGGGCTGAGGTAGGGGGGGAGGTAAAAGGGCCAATGGTGAGGGATTGAAGAGAGCGTGTGGCGGGAGGTTTGGGGAGGGAGGGGAGGGGGGAGAGAAGGGAGGGGGGCCACGTACTTGGGTGGCTATTCGCATCTGCATACATACCATATCCAGGTTCGCTCACTTGCATGGAAGGATAGCATGTGTGCATGATGTACGTGTCAAAGGCATGGCAAATACATGGCAAGTACATGGCAAGTACATGGCAAGTACATGGCAAGTACACGGCAAGTACATGGCAAATACACGGCAAGTACATGGCAAGTACATGGCAAGTACACGGCAAGTACACGGCAAGTACATGGCAAGTACATGGCAAGTACACGGCAAGTACACGGCAAGTACATGGCAAGTACATGGCAAGTACATGGCAAGTACACGGCAAGTACACGGCAAGTACATGGCAAGTACATGGCAAGTACATGGCAAGTACACGGCAAGTACATGGCAAATACACGGCAAGTACATGGCAAGTACATGGCAAGTACACGGCAAGTACACGGCAAGTACATGGCAAGTACATGGCAAGTACACGGCAAGTACACGGCAAGTACATGGCAAGTACATGGCAAGTACATGGCAAGTACACGGCAAGTACACGGCAAGTACATGGCAAGTACATGGCAAGTACATGGCAAGTACACGGCAAGTACACGGCAAGTACATGGCAAGTACATGGCACGGCAAGTACATGGCAAGTACACGGCAAGTACATGGCAAGTACATGGCAAGTACACGGCAAATACATGGCAAATACATGGCAAGTACATGGCAAGTACATGGCAAGTACATGGCAAGTACACGGCAAGTACATGGCAAGTACACGGCAAGTACATGGCAAGTACACGGCAAGTACACGGCAAGTACATGGCAAGTACATGGCAAGTACACGGCAAGTACACGGCAAGTACATGGCAAGTACATGGCAAGTACATGGCAAGTACACGGCAAGTACACGGCAAGTACATGGCAAGTACATGGCAAGTACATGGCAAGTACACGGCAAGTACACGGCAAGTACATGGCACGGCAAGTACATGGCAAGTACATGGCAAGTACATGGCAAGTACACGGCAAGTACACGGCAAGTACATGGCAAGTACATGGCAAGTACACGGCAAGTACACGGCAAGTACATGGCAAGTACATGGCAAGTACATGGCAAGTACACGGCAAGTACACGGCAAGTACATGGCAAGTACATGGCAAGTACATGGCAAGTACACGGCAAGTACACGGCAAGTACATGGCAAGTACATGGCAAGTACATGGCAAGTACATGGCAAGTACACGGCAAGTACACGGCAAGTACATGGCAAGTACATGGCAAGTACACGGCAAGTACACGGCAAGTACACGGCAAGTACACGGCAAGTACATGGCAAGTACACGGCAAGTACATGGCAAGTACATGGCAAGTACATGGCAAGTACACGGCAAGTACATGGCAAGTACATGGCAAGTACACGGCAAGTACACGGCAAGTACACGGCAAGTACATGGCAAGTACATGGCAAGTACACGGCAAGTACATGGCAAGTACATGGCAAGTACATGTCAAAATGACAAGCACATTGTACCACCTAAGATGCCTTGCCCGTTCATTCGCAATCACTTAACACCAGGTACCGACATTACAAGGCAGGCATGGCATGCGGGCATGCATGGTGGCCCCAACCAAGATGATCGCAGCCCTGGAAATTTCTGCCTCCCAAGACTCAGTGCTCTTTCTCTCCACCCCAACTTCCAACTGCATCCTCCACACAAACCTCCACTCCCGCCTCTAGGTCCCATCATTCAAAGAGCGGCACGGCATGCGGGCATGCATGGTGGCCCCAACCAAGATCATGACTGGACCTTTCCACATGCCCCCTACGTAACACCCCTTACCTACCTAAGACCCCCTGATTCACACCCAACCAACACCAGGCCCCATCATTCAAAGAGCGGCACGGCATGCGGGCATGCATGGTGGCCCCAACCAAGATCATGACTGGACCTTTCCACATGCCCCCTACGTAACACCCCTTACCTACCTAAGACCCCCTCATTCACACCCAACCAACACCAGGCCCCATCATTCAAAGAGCGGCACGGCATGCGGGCATGCATGGTGGCCCCAACCAAGATCATCGCAGGCTTGGGACTCAGCCCCTGTGTTGACTCCTGTACTGCTCTCTTTCTGCCCCACTCCCACATCCCACATCCTCCTGCAGGTCTCGACCTTCCAAGAGCGGCACGGTTTGCGAGCATGCATGGTGGCCCCAACCAAGATCATCGCAGGCCTGGGTCTCAGCCTCGGAATCGACATCCTCCACGTACCTGCAGCCACGGGCGACTACCGAACCTGCCTCGCCTCCAAAGCTGAAGCCGTAGCTGCCGCCCTGTCCACCGTACCTTCCCCTCTCGCTCCATCCAAGCCCGAACCAACCAACCGACCCGACCAGAACGATCAGATTGATTCGATCGCTCTGATCGGTCGATCTGCACCGTTGATTTCGGTTCCAGGGGAGGAGGAGCCGAGGGAGGGGTGCAGCGAGGGGTATGAGTTTGCGTTTCTGCACATCAAGGCGGTGGACGATGCCGGACACGACAAGGCCGTTGATCTTAAAGTGCGTGCGCTGGAGGCCGTTGATCGCATGGTGGGGCAGCTGGCGCACCTCCTGTGGCTGGTGCAGAGAGAAGGGGATCGGGAGGAGGAGCAGCAGCAGGGGAACAACCAGGAGGAGCACGAGAAGCAGCAGCAGCGGTTAAGGTTCTGCCTGTGTGTGACAGGCGATCACTCAACGCCCATTCTGTACGGCGACCACACCGAGGAACCAGTGCCTCTGGCCATCTGTGACCTCTCTGATTTCATCCACACAGTTCCCGGGGGAGAGACTGCTGTTCTGGGTGTTCATCTCAGCCCCTTCCCCATCCCCACCGCTGCCACTGTGGCTGCAGAGGATGTCACTGGGGTAAACAGCGGGGTGTGGGAGAGGAAGGGGGGAGGTGGAGCGGAAAAGGGAGTGGAGACGGTGCCAGGGGTAGCTGGTTCTGTGGCAGGGGATGGCGTGTCCAGGTTCAGTGAATCTGCGGCGGCCAAGGGGAGCCTGGGAAGGTTTCCAGGGAGTGAGATGATGCGCATCATTAAGTGGTGGTCAGGGCGAGGATGCTAGGTAGGTATGCACTGAGCAAGTCCTTGTACAGGAACAGATACACTGTAGTGTGGATGCATGTAGTTGGTGGGAACCATTAGTGTAATTATTGGTTTTCTGTCACCAGCAGATGCGCAGCTTGAAATACAATTTATACGGTATTGTGTTGTAAATGTGTTGTGTGTGTGTCAATCAAACGCGGTTTAGCCGCGCCTTCGAGATTATATCCAGGGGAAATATGTGAATGGTAACACATATGGGGCTAAAAAACGCGTACGGTAACCATTACAACATGTTTTCGTGCGTTTGGTAACTAGCTTCACGCGTTTGGTAACTATGCACTGGCAAGCGATCACGTGAATGGTAACTAGATGAAACCCTCGCCCAAAATGACTGTGATTATGGGTTCTCCCGCTCGCGCTAAACTAAATTAACGAATCCTGTCACATCAGGTTCTGACACACTTTTTAAACATCGGTACCGTACATTCACGCACGAATAAGTATGCACTTATAGTGCTGTAGTCTATACTGGGGTACACTGTAGAGGGGACAACCCTTTTAGGGTTTCCTACTTGTATCCCCATCCCACTCAATGCACACCCTGTTTCCTTAGGGCCCACCGAACGTTCCGCCCTGCCCGGACTTGAAACTTTTTTTCCTGCCCTCCTGCCTAGCACCAGCGCGCGCCTTACTGCCCTGCCCGCGCGCGCCCAGTTGCCCTGCTACTGAGCGCCCTGCTGCCCTGCCTGAGCGCCGCCCTGCCCGCGCGCGCTCTGCCTGCAGCTGCGCCGCCCTGCCTGCCCGCGCGCTCTGCACGCGCACCCTGCTGCCCACAGCGCCAGCGCGCCCTGCTGCCCAGCACGCCAGCGCACCCCGCTGCCCAGCGCGCCAACGCGCCCCGCTGCCCAACGCGCCAGCGCGCCCCGCTGCCCGACGCGCCAGCGCGCCCTGCTGCCCAGCGCCCCAGCGCGCCCCGCTGCCCGACGCGCCAGCGCGCCCTGCTGCCCAGCGCCCCAGCGCGCCCCGCTGCCCAGCGCGCCAGCGCGCCACGCTGCCCAACGCGCCAGCGCGGCCCGCTGCCCAGCGCGCCAGCGCGCCCCGCTGCCCAGCGCACCAGCGCGCCCCGCTGCCCAGCTCGCTAGCGCGCCCTGCTGCCCAGCGCCCAGCGCGCCCTGCTGTTCCAAAAAAAAAAAAAAAAAACCCGTGCTGCCGCACTAGGTGCTGCTGCCACCCGAGTGCGCTGCCCCGCGCTGCCCTACCCCGCGCTAGCGCCGCCTTGCCCCGAGTGCTGCTACGCTGCTACTGCTGCCTGTGCTACTGCTGCTACGCAGCTGCTGCTACTAGCTGCCACTGCCTGCCATGGCTACTACCACTGTCCTACGTCAGTGGCAGCCGAGTGTGCAGGAGTCTCTCTCGCCGCAGCAGCTTCGCGAGTGGGCTATCTGGTGGGGCAGCCCCGGTGACGGAGCTAGCCATGCTAGGGCTGGAGGTGCTGGTGCTGGCGGTCCTCGTACTCGTCGGCGGGAGCCGCTCTCGTCGCAGCAGCTTCGCAAGAGGGCTGTTTGGTGGGGCAGCCCCGGTGGCGGAGCCTGGTGTGCTACTACTGGAGGTCCCTGTGAGTCTACTCCTGCTGGTAGTGCCACTGGTAGACGCGGAGGTTCTGGGGGTGGACAGCAGAGGCAGCAGCGTCCGCCAGAGACTCTCTCCCCGCAACAGCTTCGTGAGTGGGCTGTCCGGTGGGGCAGCCCCGGTGGCGGAGCTTGGGGTACTAGTGCTGGGGGTGGAGAGGCACCTGGTGGCGTAGAGGCTGCTAGTCTTGGTGCTTTTGACTCAGCTAGCACAGGTGCAGAGCCTGAGGAGGCCTTGCACACTTTTACTCTCGACTGAGGAGCGTCTCGTTGCTTCTTCCGCGACAGCACCACACTCACACCGCTCACAGTCCCTGTCCCTGTCACACTGGCCGACCCCTCTGGGGGCCCGGTAGTCGCACGTGGCGCCACTGTTCTCCCTTGTCCGGCGGCCCCTTCGGGCCTCCTCATAGGTCTCCACCTCCCCTCGTTCGCTAAGAACTTGGTGGCCACCTCTGTCCTCCAGGACCAGTGGGTCGTTGTCACCCAGCCTGGAGGCGAGCTAGTGGCGATCTGTACGGACTCGCGCACTGGTGAGCACCTCGCAACGTTCACTCAAAGGCCTGGGTCTGGCCTGTACACACTGACCACTGAGTCTGCACTGGTAGCTGAGTCAGGTCAGGTAGCTGCGTCGGTTGAGGTCGCTGCGTCTTGCTCGTGTCGTCTCCTCACGCACCAGACTCTCCAATGGCACCACCTTCTTGGCCACCCCTCCTTGCCACGCCTTCGTGGCATGGACTCCCGTTTCCTTGTCTCTGGGCTTCCCATGTCCCTGCCCCGGCTCCCGAGGTCGCTTGCGCCGCCGTGCCTTCCCTGCGTCGAGGGGCGGCAGCGCGCCGCTCCTCACTCCTCCTCATTTCCTCCGACCACAGCTCCTCTGCAGACCCTCCACATGGACGTGTGGGGTCCAGCCCGAGTCCATGGACAGGGCGAAGAGCGCTACTTCTTGCTAGTTGTAGACGACTACATGCGCTACACCACGGTCTTCCCCTTGCAGAGCAAGGCGGAGGTCCGCAGTGTTCTGATCCGCTGGATCCGTGCTGTCCGTTGCCAGCTCAGTGCTCGGTTTCAGCAGGACCTCCTGGTCTTGCGACTACATTCTGACCGAGGTGGTGAGTTTTCCTCCGGCCTCCTCGAGGACTTCAGTGGTGCTGAGGGCATCCGCCAGACGTTCACGCTTCCGGCCTCTCCACAACAGAATGGGATTGCAGAGCGCTGCATTGGCTTGGTGATGGAGGTCGTTCGCACCTCCATCGTCCATGCGGCTGCTCCCCATTTTCTGTGGCCGTTTGCGGTCCGATACGTTGCTGAGCAACTCAACCTCTGGCCCTGTGTCTCCCACCCAGAGACCTCTCCCACTCTACGGTGGACGGGCGAGGTTGGTGATGCGTCGCTGTTTTGGGTCTGGGGTGCCCTTTTGCTTGTTTGCAACCCCCCCGCAGGGAAGCTCTCTCCCCGTACTCTTCGCTGCGTCTTCCTTGGCTTCCCTACCGACGCCCCGGGCTGGCAGTTTTACCACCTGGGTTCCCATCGTGTTCTTTCCTCCCAGGATGTCACCTTTGACGAGTCTGTCTGCTTCTACCGTCTACACCCCCACCGCAGTTCCCCCGTGCCCCTCCCGCCTTTCGCACTGGTCTCCGCCCCCCCCCGGTAGCCCCACTCCCCCCGCAGGGTCCTGCTCCCTCAGGTGTGTCTCAGGTAGACCCGTCCCCCTTGGTTGAGCTAGTCGAGGTCTCCTCTGAGACCTCTGGTCCAGCTGAGGGGGGTGACCCGACTCCTGCTGCCACCGTGACCCCTCGCCGCTCTGCGCGCTTGGCGGTCCCTCCTGGGTTTCAGCCTCGACCGTCTTCACCGCCGCTACAGCCTGTCGATGTGGACTCTGGTGCTGCAGGAGGTGGTACCACTGGGGGTGCTGGTTCTGGGGGTGCTGAGTGTCCTCTGGGTACAGGAGGTACTGGAGGTACTGGTGCTGGTGGTCCTGGTACGAGTCGGCAGGAGGCTCTCTCGCCGGATCGGCTTCGCGAGTGGGTTGTCCAGTGGGGCAGCCCTGGTGGTGGAGCTAGCCATCTTCGAGCGGGAGGTGCTGGGACCACTGGAGCTGGAGGTGCTGGCACTGTTGGAGCTAGAGGTTCTGCTACTGGTGGTACTGGGGTTGCTAGTGCTGGTGGCACTGGTGCACGTCGGCAGGAGACTCTCTCGCCTAAGCGGCTTCGCGAGTGGGCTGTCCAGTGGGGCAGCTCTGGTGGTGGAGCTAGCCGTGCTCGTACTACTAGAGCTGGAGGTGCTGGGACTCCTGGTGCTGCTGGAGGTACTGGAGGTGCTGCTGCTGTGGGTGCTGCTGCGGGTAGTCCAGGAGACTCTCTCACCGGAGCGGCTTCGCGAGTGGGCTGTCCATTGGGGCAGTCCTGGTGGTGGCGCTGGATGTGTTGGAGCTGCAGGTTCTGGAGGTAATGGCCCTGGAGGTGCTAGTGCTGGTGTTCCTGGTACTCGAGACACAGGTACTGCTGGAGGTACTGGAGGCGCAGGTGCTGCTGCAGGTTCTGGAGGTGCTAGCCCTGGAGGTGCTAGTGCTGGTGTTCCTGGTACTAGAGACACAGGTGTTGCTGGAGGTACTGGAGGCGCAGGTGCTACTGGAGGTACAGGAGGTGCTGGCCCTGGAGGTGCTAGTACTGGTGGTCTTGGAGTTGGCCGTGCTGGAGGTACTGGTACTGGAGGAGGTGCTGACACTGGAGGAACTACTGGAGGTACTACTGGAGGTACTGGAGATGGTGGTGCTAGTCGGCAGGAGTCGCTCTCACCGCTGCAGCTTCGCGGGTGGGCTGTCCGTTGGGGCAGTCCCGGTGGTGGAGCTGGTGGTACTGGTTCTAAGGGTGCTGTTGCTACTGGAGCTGGAGGTTCTGGGGGTGCGACTACTCAGCCGCAGCCATCTGCGCTTTGTCGCCTTCTCAGTCTCCCGCCTGGTGCTACTGAGTTCCCGGTTCCTGGTACTACTCCCCCGTTATTGCTCCCACCGGCTGACTAGTCTCAGCCACAGCTACTGCCTGGCTCCCCGCTGCCTGCTCCTGCTCCTCACACTGAGGTGATTGCGTCCCTGACTGCGCGTCGTGAGCATGAGACTCGTGCTTCCACTCATGAGCGTCGAGAGCTTGAGACTAGAGCTTATGTCCCTGCTTGTGTTCATCGTGTTCGTCGTCCTCGTGGTCCGGCTGTACCGGGCACTCACGATATGACACTCCGTCCTTCCTCTGTTCCACAGGGTGTTGTCCTGCCTGAGCCTCCCGCGTCCTCTCTTCCGCACGTTCCTGACCCTGAGTCTGACCTTGTCCGTGCTGCCAGTCGGACTGTCACTCGTCTCCTTGCCACAGTTGTGTCTGACCCTTCCTTTGAGTCT